TGATATCATTCAAGAAGAAATTTGTTCTTGTGGCAGAATATTGGTGTTGTAGACGATGTCAGATAAAGCAAGAAACTCTATAGTGTTTGGAATTTGATCAGTAGGTTAAAGAGGGACTGCTGTTAGCTATTATTCAGATTTTTAAGTTTGATTCTTATAATATTTTTGTTTTTCAGAGAAGTTTATTATAATGTATTGAAATATAGGCCAGATATTTACCTCAGAAGCAATGTACCCATTAGTACTTATCTTTGAAGTAGAAATCTTTCCTTTAATAATTATTTAGAGACAAAATTTATTTTAGGCCAAATATGTTTTCTCACAATCTGGACATTACCCACATATATTTAAACATTATATCTATCTATAGAACAAAACTCTATTACTTAGTTAAAGGAATGTTTTGTGAATTCAATATTGATCCAAATTCTATAAAATCTTAATTTACCAAAAAAGATTTCTATTTTTTGAAGTTTTTTTTTTGAATATAGATAAGACAATAATCTGATATCAGCAGTTTAGTAAAATCAATCTATAGGATATAATTTGAGTTTGTTGCCCACAGTGATAAACCTTTATCAAGTGATAGTTGATAAACCTATATCAAGGGCAGGCACATACATTATCAGGTCCAGCTAGACTAATGCATAAAGGCCAGTATCTGTTTTAATTGTTCAGTATCTATGCCTGAACTAATTATTAACATTTTGATTATCATCCTTGTCTATGTCCTTTACAATTAAATGGTACAAATCTATGTTTATAATTCTTTCAGTAGCACTTTTGAAGTAAATAGAATTTGTCTGCTACAGAAAATAAAGATAATCAGAACACTGATTTGCAAGCATTTTAGTAATCAAAGTTTATTTTGTGCTTGAGTGGGACTGTCTGTAACCTGGCAAAAAGGAAAAATAATCAGCTCTAGAAATTAATTGTTAGTTGTTTTTAGATATGACTACCAAGCAATGCTGATCTTTCTTGTGGTACCAATCTTCTTATATATATTGTCTGGATGCTATAGACATGATTAAATAATCTATTTCGTCAGGGTTGGGACCACATCCTTTTATACATGTTTATTTCTGTAAGTATGAATGAAGTTTACTTATTTATCAAACATTTTTTAAAAAGGTCTGTTATGTTCCAAGAACTGTGTGATGAGGAATGCTGGGCCTACACCCTGTTGTCAGGGCATATATAACATTGAGGGGGAGAGGTACAAAGAGATACAAAGTATCAAAAACATTCTGAGATGGAGTAATGTTTAGCATAGTTGGCCCAGCCCTATAGAGAAGGTGATTTTTGAACAGCAGTTTAAACAAGGAGAAGGAATTTTGCCAAGTTGCAGGGTTAAGGAAGTGTGTGTCAGACCAAACAGGGAGTTAGCATGTAACAAGTCCCAGGAGCTCACACATGTCTTGGCACCTGCCAAGAACCCTCAGCAACTCCTCTCCAGGGGGGATACAAGAGGTACAGCACTGGGAGAAGCAACAAGATAAAATGTGTCAGTTTGTTAAAAGGGAAAGGTTCAAGAAAGAGGGAGTTGTAAATCATGTTACACGTCAAGCAAAGGCAAGAACAAAACATAGTCTTTGGACTTGGCTTTCCTGACAGCATTGATGACCTTTGCTGAGCAGTAAAGTAATGGGTGTGAAAGTCAGACTGATAAGGATTCAGAAGTGAATGGGAAAGGAAGAAGCAGAAAAACAGCATAGTAGATATTCACCTGGGAAGGATGGATTAAGTACATTAGGGAGAGGAGGATGCATAGCCAGGGCAGCATCCTCTTCCTCCTGCCATGTCACCCTCTGCATTTCGGAGTTACTTACATTTGGAAGCTAAGAGAAGGAACTGCTGAAAGACAAAGTGTGCATGCATAGAGGAGGCAGAAAGAGAAGGAGGTCTTGAGAATGAATGAGTCAAGGTGGAGGCTTGTGGAAGCTTAACTGTGGGCAGGAGGAGGGAGAACTGGGAGACTAAGAAAGAAACAGAAGGATAGGTTAACGACTCATGGATAGGAAGGTAAGAAAAAGTTCATGCTTAAGGGCTACTGTTATATGGCTGTGAAATATTCATGACATATAATGTTATTATCCACTGTTGCTAATGAACATGGAGAAAGAGTAATGAAGTTTTAGAAAAGCTGCTGTGTGCAATGAGATAGGGAGCTGTCCAAGGACAGGGCTAGATTGTGAGGCAGTTTTGAAAGGGCCTACGTGACCCTGGAACATTATTTTTAGAGGCAATGATTGTGCGTGTGTGTGTTCAAGTGTATGTTTCAGTGTGTTCATGTGTTGTATTCATATATGTGTTCATGTGTGTGTGTTTGTATGTTTTGTACCCTAGAGGTAATCCAAATCCTGATGCAGTAATTGATAATTTAATTTACCAATATTTTTGGAACTCCATCTATTTTGCATCACTATGTAAGCCATGGGGTTACTGAGATGAATAATATTTTTTTCTGTCCTTAAAACCATATGGTCTAGTGGGTCAGTTATATAAGGAAATAAAACACTGTATAGGGCATAGGTGCAGAGATAATTCAGAGAAGGCGGTATTTTAATATATGGATGAATAGAGATGGGGGTAATGACATCTTGGTAGCTTTTTGGAGGAAGTGACATCTTAGCTGGCTTTAGAGGAAGAAAATAGTTACAGGTGAGGCACTTGAAGATTCTGAAGAGAAGGACTAAAGAGATTGTTGACCATGCAGGTGGTCCATTCTCAAGGCATGAAATCATTAAGTAATTCTTTATGCAGAACAAAGTTTCAGGAAGACAGACACAGCTTACACTTTATGACTGGACCTTTTTTTTTTAATATAGACACTGGCATTAGGACCTAGAAACTTTTTTGAAAACCAAAATATTTCTTGAACACTGGGATGAGTTTTTTTTTTTTTTTTTTTTTTTTTTTTTTTTTTTTTTTTGAGACGGAGTCTCTCACTGTTGCGTCCGGGCTGGAGTGCAGTGGCGCAATCTTGGCTCACTGCAACATCCACCTCCAAGGTTCTAAGTGATTCTCCTGCCTCAGCCTCCTAAGGAGCTGGGATTACAGGCGCCCGCCCCCGTGCCTGGCTAATTTTTTGTATTTTTATTAGAGACTTTTTTTTGCCATGTTGACCATGTTGGTCTCGAACTCCTGACCTCGCTTGTGATCTGCCCACCTCGGCCTCCCAAAGTGCTGGGATTATAGGTGTGAGCCTCTGTGCCCAGCCATGGTTGTTTTTGTTTGTTTGTTTTCTTTTTTTTTTTTTTTGAGACAGCATCTTGCTCTGTCACCCAGGCTGGAGTGCAGTGGTACAATCTCAGCTCACTGCAGCTTCCACCTCCCATGTTCAAGTGATTCTTCTGCCTCAGCCTCCTGAGTAGCTGGGATTATAGGCACCACCACCACGCCTGGCTAATTTTTGTATTTTTAATACAGATGGTGTTTCACCATGTTGGCCAGGCCGGTCTTGAACTCCTGACCTCGTGATCCACCCACCCTAGCCTCCCAATTTGCGGAGATTACAGGCGTGATCCATCACGCTCAACTGATTTTTTAAATCTCTATCAAAAGTTGTAGTCTTACTGTAGTATTTTCCAAATAGTTTTGGAAAGTAATTTTTTAAAGGAAAATTAGTGTTAAAATGGCAATATTAATCTTAAACGATTTAAGTTCTAGATGCTCATGTTTTTTAACATACGTATGTATTTATATCCTGTACTTTAATTCCAAAAATTATAAACATACCATATGCCAATAGAGCAATTTTGGCTCATGAAGAAGTATAATCAAATACTAGTGATCATACTGTGTTATTGCCTCTTTAAAATGTGAAGATTTTACTTTTTAAAGCCTTATTTTCCTCATTGGCGACATTCAAAAAAAAGAAAAGAAAAGAAAAAGAAAAATCCTGATAGAGAAAGTAAGTTGTTAAAAGTAAAAATGCCCTGCTCTAAGTAGTCTTGTGGTGCTGAGTTAACTGATCATCAGGCAACAGGGGATCCCTCATCCCCCACCCTCCAGCTTTGTTTGGAATTGTACTTCTGAAGTGCATCACGCTGCTCAAATCAAATTGCTCACTTAATATTTAATGTTTCTGCGATGGAATCACTTTCTCCCTTGAGGTTGACTTCAGATTTACCAGACACACTGACAACACTGCACTCCTTATTTTCCCCACATGACCTCAGCTTCTGCCTTAAAAATGTACGAATAAAGGATGCTTTTGTTCATATCTTGCCTGCCTGTGATATATTGACAAAGTGTCTGCGGGCTCAATGGAATAGTTTTACAGTATGAGTGCTGCTTTCAGTGGAGGGGCAGGACTTGGGCTTTAGAAGGAAGTGAATTGGATAGGTCAGGAGAATGTACCATTTGTAAACACCCCTTTCCTTTTTTATTCACGTGTCAGGACAGCAGGAGCAGGCTGTTCAGTGCCCGTCCCTGCACAGAGCCAGAGGGAAAGCAGCTTGGAAGTCAGCTGCAATTTTTAAACCTTACTTTTTATTCCCCGGTAATGATCTTCAAGTGCTTAGACTTGTCTGAGAAGCTGTTTTGAAACTAACATGGTTTAGTCCACTAACTGCATGTTGGGTAAATTCAAAACCCACATGCTCGTCCTCTTGCAGTGGAATAAGTCACATCTGATGGACATTTTCTGTGCTTATAGCATAGTAATGAACGTCTGACAGGCGCGACCTTTCATAAGACAACCCACACTATTGGCTTTCTGCCCAGAATATTGCTGCAACACTATCTGTGATTGGTTATCTCTCTATCATGCATTGCTTCACAAGGGGAAACGGCCCCTTTTTTTAATAAATCTACGATGGCTGGCTGCAATATGCCTCACTGTAAGTATTTTGTGTGTGTATGTGTGGGAGAGAGAGGGAGAGAGAGAGGCTGACTTGAATATTACTTAGTCTGGTATCACATGGCAAGGTTGTGATACTGTAGGACATCAGTGAAGTGCTACTTAGTAAATCTTAACCTATCTCTTTTTTCTACAGGTTGGTACTAAGAAGTGCCTTTCCTGACGTCTCTGCTGCTTGGAACCGCTTCTAGAGCAGTCTCTGCTTTTGCCTTGCTTGCTGCCAGCTAGACTGTGACGACAGCACATCCACCCTCCACCTCTAGCCCAGACACCCCCATTTCTACTTATAATCAAGAGAAAAGCTCTAAGTATCTGGCATTGCCCTAGGCTGCTTTAGTGTTAAAAGAAAAGTTTGCTGAAAAAGTAAGATATCTTCTGCCAGGAAATCAAGGAGGAAAAAAAAAAATCATTTTCTCGATTTTGCTCTAAACTGCTGCATCTGTCTATGCCAAACTAATCAATACCGATTGCACCACCAAACTCCATTGCAAATTCAGCTGTGAGGAGATTCCCTTTCAGACAACTTTGCTGAAAGCAGCTTGGAAATTCGGTGTCAAAGGGTCTGCCACGTTTTCATGCTTGCATTTTGGGCTCCAAATTGGCACTGGGAAGGGGTTACTGAGAGCACAAGGCTGATACCAGGCCCTACTTTTAAACGTTCATCTACTTACAATCCTAGTATTTCTCTAAAAACCAAAACCTCTTTGAATTAACAGTTTCATGCTGTGAATTTCTAGTGGGAGATCTTTTCCTTGATATTGACGACACAATTTTCCATGTACTTTTAAAGCAGGGAGTGGGGAAAAGTATTTTGAGGGGACATTTTCATCATCAGTTCAGCTTTTTTTTTTTTTTTTTGGTTATTGCTCTTTTTTTGGGGGGTTGGGTTTGTTGGTTTCACTGAAACATTTAACTACCTGTAAAATCTAAACATGGCTGTTAGTGTCACACCAATTCGGGACACAAAATGGCTAACACTGGAAGTATGTAGAGAGTTCCAGAGGGGGACTTGCTCACGGCCAGACACGGAATGTAAATTTGCACATCCTTCGAAAAGCTGCCAAGTTGAAAATGGACGAGTAATCGCCTGCTTTGATTCATTGAAAGTGAGTAACTATTATATTCTTTTAAGGATATTCAATGCTTGAATAAGGGGGATATGGACGTAACAGTTCTCTGCATTTGGGATTATGGATTGCTTTGTTCATAGTTTAGTTACACAGTGTGTTGATGATGTTGGGCTGGGGAACTTTACAAGAAGCAACAGAATCAAGTCTGGCCAAACTTTGTTATGAATAACTTTATCAGTCCTTTCACTCCATGGTTTTTTTTTTTTTTTTTTTTTTTTTTTTGCTAGGGCAGAAAGTATTGACATGTTTTTCACTTAGTAATGGCAAAGTGAGTGTCTGTCCCTGGAAATGGTAAATGTAGCTACATGTGAGTGTTTAGCCAATGCATATATTATATATAAGGCCGTGGCAATAACTGAATGAAGATGATTTTTACTTGTTGGTAAAGGCATTGTACAGTTGCAAAAGACAAGAAGATTTAAAATCAGCTAAGCTTGGATAGACTTTTTACTCTTTTAATATTTTGACATTTTGGATTTTCTTTTTTTGTGGGCATTTTAAGGCCAGAGCCACACGTTTTATGGAAAATACAACTAGAAGTAAGGTGCTGAACTGCTGCTACAGCACCTTACCTGAGGGACAAACTTTGTTGAATGTGAGTTTTGTAAATAAGCAGAAACTCATAAGTACTATTGTTTATTGGATTTTTCCAACTTCAAAAATTCTAAAGTGAATTAGCAGTTTATTTTCTGTTAGATGGTGATTATTTTTTATTTGTAATAGTCTTAGCTAGAAATGTTAAAAGTTAGCTTTTGTGAGCACCATAATACTAAAATATTTACTTTAGTGTTTCTTGGCATTCAAAAATGTCATTGCATTTGTAATTCAAGTATCATATTTGAAAATGAGTCTTTTAAAAGATAACATAAATGTCTTTATTTTGACACACAAGGTCAAGACTAGAAATGTGTTCCTGGGTACTTTCAACCTACTTGGTTTAATCAAATTGCTTTTGAATATTAATGTCCTAATTTAATTCTTTGAAGCTTTGAGGAGAAGACACTATCACTTCTACATATGTAGACAAGTAAAAGTCTCATAAGTCCATCTTGTCTTTACAAATATATAGTGCTATAATAATCTTTTCTTTAATAACATCAGGGTGAGTTATGAGTTAATTGTTTCAGTTCATTGTTTCCTGGTCCAGTTTAGGCTGTTCATTTTGCTAAAGTTTTTGGCAAAGATTCCAAGAACATGATCTTTAGAGTTGAACAGAAAGGAGGTGTTAACAACAAAAATATTTTAAAATATTAGATTATTTTTAATGTCATAGTCCTAAAGATCAATAAGCAAAAGTCATAAACTCCCATTGAGACTTTCTTCAGCCTTTCCTTTGAGAGGCATCAGTGAAGGGCATAGTGGTTGTACCTCCGTGAATGTGTATTCCTAAATTCATGCCGGCTGAATTCAGGTGTAATTAGAGACTGAGACCCATAAAATGAGGGGCAGAGAGCTAATTACTCCTGTCGGTAACCAGCTGTGGCCATAAGTAACCCTGTTTTGACCCAATTAATAGTAAATCCAATTTTTAATCCTACAGACAGTTGATGGTGCACACGTAGCTGCAAAGTAAAGGACATTAAATTTTGCTGTGACATTGAGTGGTTTCACAGAAGACCTGCCCCTACAACATTTGGAAACATTGTGAAACATTAATATTCAGTTGCTACTTTTCCTTCTCAAAATATATTCTTTTTTTAGTTGCTGCTCACTTATGGCCACAGAACAGTCCCTTTTTGAGTAAAGCAGCAAGGTTGCTTAATGCCATGCTGTGTGGTTAACAAGATTCAACTGCCACATCAAGGACTTTAAATAATTTCAAGATTTTAAATGTATTTATGAAATGAACTCATTACAGCAGCTAATCAATGCAGACTTTGTCCTTTTTCTTTGTCTTTCTAAGATAAACTGAATTTAATTTAAATTTAAATTACAGTGTCTAAATCTTGGTAAAATATTTTAAATTGGAATAAGAGGAAAAAAACCCACAAATTTATTTATGATGGAGCTTCATACCCAGGAAAAAAGCTTCTTAAATGTTAGTAAAATAACTATGTTAAGAATTAAAACAATTTTGAATATGCAATTAAGCATTTATGTTAAAAAACATGTTTCTTGTGTGTGTGTGTATATATTTATAACTGACACATGTGATTCTTCGTACAGTATTTAGAATCCTTCCCTTCAGATAGCAGTCCTCTTGTATTCAGTCTTGTGGCTAAAATAGATCAAAAACATATTTTAAAACTGTTAAAGTAACTGTATGACTCATGCTTGAAGTTCTGAAATTTGGGAGCGTTCTGAGGTTTCCATGCCAATAACCGCTAGATCATTTGCATTCTCTCACAGAGTAAACGGAAAAAAATTTAGAAAACTTGTAATATCCTGACTTCTTTAATAAAATGTGTCCTGTGTATTGCTTAAATCCATAGTCCAGCCTTTTCTGAGTTCTTGAGCCATGAGATGGAGGTGGCCTGTGTAATCTACTATTTTTAGAAAGTTAGGAAAGCAAACCAAATACTCTCTGAGAGGACCCTATGAAATGGCTGTACCCTTCAGCTGTGCTGCTTCAGACTTTGGCCAGGCTCCCAGGTGACTTACGTTAATAGCAGACTTCTAGTTAGAAGAGGAGAATTTATTTCATTAAAAAGATAGAAGTCAAACAGTTCAAGAAAATATTCATTTATGTAAAAGAAGTCAATTGGTATGTTACAAAGATAATGGGAAGAAAATTAGCTGACAGTATTTTAGTTGCATACTGATGATTTTAAGGTTTAAATAATTAGATTTAAATATACCATATGAAAATGTAGAATTCTGTATTGTAATAAATCTATTACTAAGTAAAATGGGAATACATGATAACAAGGAATGTAGGTATTTATTAAGAATATCAGAATTAGAATGAAAATAAAAGAGCAAAAGCTGTAATAATGTGTGCTAGTATATAAACAATAAATACTTAATTTCTCTAATTTTCCTTTTATAATTGTAGTTTTAATTTATAATAGTTTAAGTGTATATTCAATCTGAGACTTAAATTGCTTACAGATTATAGATTTAGGTGTATTAACTATTTCAGAAATCCAGAACATTTGCAAAGGTGCATTATTTGATGCCAAAGAGGATTATGTTCCCCTATGGCCTATGAAAGATTTAGGAAAAAAGAAAAGAAAAATATTGACACTGCACGCCACCATTAGAAAATTATATTTCAAAAATGATGTTTCAAATAATACTTAATGACAAATTGCCTATTCAGTCATGAGCTCTCAACTAAAATTTAGGGAGTCAATGTAAAGAAAGCCTACAGAATGTATTTTAATATTTGCCAAGTTATTTATACCCTCAAAAAAAAAAAAAACTTTTACGATATGATCAACAGAAATAGACTTATTGTTTACTGAATTCTATTTCAAATACCTGTTCATTTTTCGGGTACTAGGGATGGGAGGAAGAGAATATAACCTTTATATTTACTGTTTAGCAAAATTCTAGCAAAAAATCTAGCAAAATTCTTTTACCTTTGAAAACTTTAGTCACTTGTTCCTTTATCAAATTGAACAATTTTATTTAAGATAATTAAAATTTATTTTTGCTATATACAATGATATCTATCTATAAATAGCACCACTGATCAGATTTATCATAGACAAATTTGAAATCAGATTCCACTGCAAAGTGGCATAGAATCAAGGACACTGAGAACAGTTTTAAAGAGCCTCTGCAGACTTAGCAGAATATATGAAGTATGGAAATTAGGTATTAGAGGGCACACAAATATATGTATATACAGGTAAATGAACAACTAAAACACTCAAAATCAGTAAGGCAAATCAAGTATCCAGATGGTCACATATGGATTGGTTGGCATAACTAGACATGAAGAAGTAGTCCCAAAGGTGTTTATAGTTAAATTTTAGAAGATGGTCTATTGCTAGCATGGTTTACCCTCAGTCCAGAAATTGCCTGTGATGCTGCTGTTCTTTCCAAGCCCCAGGCATAGACTTTTCATCGTATTTTAAAAGACAGTTTCACTGATAATCCTGATAAAATATCTGCCAGTTTTAGGCGAAATATGCAATTTTCAATCAAAATTTTGATCTAGTAGGGTCCTAATTGGAATGAGTGTTACCAGGAATTGTTTTTGTTGTTTGGTTTTTACCACTGGTATCTCCCATGTATTAAAACTTTGACAGATTATTATATATACTGTGCTGGCACATATATTCAATGTGTTTTTCCGTGACAGATTGACATATCACTTCCTTGTTTTCTCCTAATGACTCTGGAGATGAACTAACTATAAGGCATAACCTGCACAGCAATGTGTTTCATATAAAAGCTCCCTAAGCAGAAACTTCACAGCTTTGTAAAGAATACCCTGTGAATATGCTGCAGTGTATCAACTCTGACATAAACCATTCTTTAATGAAATTCTCAATAGCTGCAGTTGCTTTGGTGAAGCTAGTAATTGTATTCATTTGCCTGTTTATATTGTTAGAACTTTTTTAGAAAACTTTTTTTTTTAATGAGTAAAGGTTTCTTAGACTATGAGATAAATTTTAAACCATGTTTTGAATCAAGCTACCTGCTGCTGTAATTCTAGAACTAGTTATTTTGCTTCATATTATAAGATTTTGGTACACTGCTTCTACTTTTTTCCTCATGAAATCTTGCTTCACTGTGCGAGTGTGACAAACTAAAAACAATTTAGACCTCAAGCAAGGTGGCACTTACAGCTGAATTCAGTTTCGTTGTAATTCAGATGTCTGAAGCTACTCAAAATTCCATGGAGTAGCCTTGAAACAATTTCATGTATAAGGCTGTTTCTCACTTAAAAGAGACAGTGCTGTGTGGGGTGAATTGTCTTTTGAAGAACTGTATGACATACGCCCAGTTCACGTGAAAGGTGAGAAATGGAATGTTTCTCAGACCTAGCACAGATACCTAGGGATCTAGTTTGGGAAGCTTAT